CTTGTTGCTGCTATTTGTTTAGCTAACTCATTAATTCTTTGAGTCAATGCTTGCTCCCTCTGCTGGTTTGCAGCGGCCTGTTCGGCTAAGGCATTGCTGATGGCCGTTCTTACTACTTCCCTAAGCTGATCTGGATCCATTCTATCTGATGGTGGAGGAACTGCCGGTATAAGTCTTGTAGACGGAACTCTGATACGAGTGTCACAGTCGGAATCTGAGTCGCTAGATTGCTCGCGAGGGCTTCTATATTGGCTGAACCGTGGCATGCGCAGGCCAGTGGCCGCGAAAAATTAAACGGGCCGTCAAAAGATGGGTCGAATTAGACACATAGAAAGTAACACTAAGTATTTTTATCAGCCTAAATTCTCAGAGCAGCCACTCTCACGTATTTCAGAAACTTGGTTCTGATTATTATAATCTAATCTGTTGCAATACGAAATACTCACTAGTACTAACAAATTTTTTATAAAGTAAATTTAAGAAATTTTGTGTTTGAAAAAAAATGTTGGCTGGAGTATCCACTTACATGATTTAAATTCCAAAAAAAAATTTTTTTTTTTTTTTTTTTTTTTTTTTTTTTTTTTTTTTTTTTTTTTATTTTTTTTTTTTTTTTTTTTTTTTACGTTGGGCGCCAATTAATATGTTGCTGGTCCAGCGATGAACTAGGCGTCGGTGGCAGGTCCAGCGTTGATCGGGTATTTATAGTCTTAATCAATAAGTTGCTGGTCCAGCGATGAGCTAGGCGTCGGTGGCAGGTCCAGCGTTGATCGGGTAATTATAATCTTCTTATGATGATTATGTTGGAGGGTTTGACTTCACCCCCTTTTCTATTAACTGGCCTTGTGGCTCAGCAATGATCAGAAATATAACAATTTGATTACGGCGGTGTGCCGGAGTAGTGCGAGTTTATTCTTCAAACTTCAATACAAAACTGATTTTTAGCTACATAGAATATTTCACTTAAGCTAAGCCAAAACTCGCATCACACCACAATGTCATGGTCGGCAAGCCGACTCAGCAATCTTAGGCAATAACGGAAACTCTTGCAGTAAACAAAAGTATCTGGTTACCACCGCTGACCATTGCAGTTATAGCGCGCTGATACAAAGTATGCAGTGTCGCAATTGCGAGGGCTGTTTCTTAACTTACGAAACACGCGATAGCGAGGGTTGATTATAAACTTATGAAATACCCTATATTAAATGTTATGTGTTAACTTATATATGTATATCTGTATATATGTATATATGTATATATGTATATATGTATATATGTATATATGTATATATGTATATATGTATATATGTATATGTGTATATATGTATATATGTATATATGTATATATGTATATATGTATATATGTATATATGTATATATGTATATATGTATATAAGTATATTTGTATATACAAATACATGTATTTATATTTATACCAAGCCCACATCATATTTATATTAAGTAAGAAGTCATTCTACGTGGCGTCCTCTTATGCAATGTTCATTGCTTTTGTGTAAAAGAGGTTCAACTCAATAATATAATAATTATAATACGCTGGGAGTCACTCGAATCTATTTTACGTGTGCATACCGACATCCATGTATAGATCTATAGATATTCCTTGTAAGGAAATTGATTTGGTGTATCACTAGGTGCGCCTATCCCGTTATCGACCAGTAAAACTCGTTATATAATTGAATTTTTATCATTTTATTTTATTTTTATTAATATTTTTCGTTTTTTTAGCGTTTTTATGTTTGCCGCTTTTTGCTTGAATGAAAGTTTTGTCGGATTTTATGCCGTTTTTTTTTGTTTTTTGGGTTTTTGTATGTTTTAATTTTTGTATGTTTCTCGTAGTTTCTACTTTTGTCTCGCATAAAATACTATAAACCCTTCAAATCGGCTAATTTATCCAACTTCATCTTCACGCAGTTATGCGATATTCCCAATATAACCGAATACTTAGGTATGCGGGGTTTTTTTTTTTGCTTTTTTTTCTTTTAATTTTAATTTCTTTGTAATTTTAAATGTATTTTGTTTTTGTTTAAGCTTGATCTGGCGCTTCTTCTTTACATTGTCTTTAACTATATGTGTGTGTGTACACACATACACACACAGCAAGCCTCGAAAAGTGTTTTTCTTTTCCCATTTTCCCAAAGTTTTCATTCCATTTGTAATTTGCCTTTAATAACTACAACGCGTACGATGACAACATTTAACACAGAAATATATTTACGAGCTAATGTGTTATATATATACATATATATATATATATGTATTTATGTATATATATGTATATATATATATATATATATATATATATATATATCGCTTTGATCAGCTTGTGTCATAAGTCAAATCCACCCATCCCAAAGTATTACCAATCCAATTTGCATACCCCTGCAGTGAGCCACTATATGATATAGCTGTATATCCTCTGGGTCGGCTAAGCGAGCTGATTTCATGCATTCGAAAGATAGGTATAACTTATCATTATTGGTTCAAGCATAAGTCGGTATCTAAGTCTATTAGCATTGCTCTCAGTTTGAAGATCAACTCTATCAAAATCCCTTTCATTTCTTTAGTTTTGACTTTGAAATAAATGTCTAGCTAAGTTTAAATAATAAAAAATATATATATATATATATATAAATATGAAAAACAATATTTTTTTAACTTAAAAAATATATACAAATAATTGTTTTAAATTTAAAAACTATAATAAACTCATATATATATCTTTTATATATATATATATATATATATATATATATATATATATATATAAATAAAATCAATAAAAAAATAAAAATCAATATACCAGAAAATCGAGCTCGAGGCTCCACGCGCCTTTCACTAGTTTCTATTTTATCTGGTCTAGCTGCAGGGGTATTTAATTGCGATCAACCGAATTATTTACTATAGAATTTTTCATCTTGTTTCTTTACTTGTTGGTTGATGGACACGGAGTAGGGGTTACGTGGCGGGTCGATGTTTAGCTATATTCGTGCCGTAATTGTTGCTCAATAATTTATATATATAACATTATGTATTGTAATTGTATATAAGCGAATAAAAAAAACTTGATTAGTTCGTTTTTCGTTTTGAAGTTACTTTACAGTTTCTATACATATGTATTAATACTTAAAAGCTTAAGTTTATCGAATAAATTTTCGAAATTTCTTTTTGGTTTTTCGGTTTTGGTATTTTTTCTTCCTTTGTCACTTCGTTTTCGTTAATATGCTTCATACATACATTATATATTTATATAATATAGTATAATATATATATATATATGTATATATTATACAATTGATCATTCCCGATGTGCTCTATATAGTGTACAGTATTAGTCTAATTATAAATCTTTAGCTGCACTGTAAATGTAGTTCATATATGTATATATATATGTATATGTGTTTGTGTGTATTAAAAACTCACTGGCTTTGCGGGCAGTGCTTAAGCGATTTTGTTGTTCTTTGGTGTTAGGTTGACCTCTGGTCACACTGATTTCGTTTTCGTTTGTTTTTGTATTTGTTTTTGTTTACTACTTTTGCTTTTCCTCTTTTTCTCTTCATTTTAGAATTCCGCTAACAACTCCGCTAACTAACTACACAAGTATTGAGTTTTAATATCTGCATTATGCCTTTAGTTTATATGTATATTGCTGTAGTTCATATATATATGAATATATATATATATATATATATATATATATATATTTATTTCTTTAATTATCTGTAGTATTTGTTTCTGGTGTCGATTGTGTTTTTCGGCTCAGCCGAATGTGGGGGCAGTACGTTTATATCATTTATATTGCTATTCTGTTTACACACGAGCTGGAATTATGCATTTACACATACATATGTGTATTCCAGTTGGGATTTTGGTAATTTGTTTAGGCTACGCGTTGACTTTCGTTTAGCTACTGCTATTAAATATACAGTTACTTGTGTATAGCTACATATGTATATAGTATGTATGTATGTATGTATGTATGTATATGCGCACTCGGAATGTGCTAAGTATTTAGTTCAAATTTGTTAATAAATGCATTTTTGTTAAGCTTACGGTTACATTACAATAAAATCGCAAGGTCCGAACTGCTTTAACCGGCTCTAACCTGGCGCACAACCCAATTACCCACGAGTCCCTATACCAATGGCGGTCGCACCCATACACACCCACACGCACGTACCCGTACCCGCTCACACACACACGCACACACACTCGACCATTCCCGACCGTATTATCCTCAAAAAAAAAAAATTGACTTGACAAAACTCCGTTAAAAAAAACCGTTGAACTCTCGCTCCCCCTCTGCAGTTGCTTCTCCTTACTAACTAATTGCTTATGTATTGAAGTGACCATGCACTTGATTTTAGGATTTAGGACTTTAGGATTTTTTAAGACCAATTTTACGAATTCAAATTTAATCAAGTTAAACTAAAACCGCTTTTTTTGTTATTTTGTTTTTTCTTTTTCTTAAGTTGCGAATTTGAGTTTTACGGCTTTAAAAATCGCAACTATATCTATTTTTGGAAAGTTTCTAATTTCTAAATGCGCCTCTTTTTATACTTGTTTTTGGAGAATTGGAGGGGTGAGGAGACTTCGCTTTGTCGAAGTTCAGAAGTTCGTTTGGTTTGCGTTTTCTTTTTTTTCTAATACTTATTTTTTTTTGTTGCTTCTTTTTTAAGTAGTTCCGGCCTACGTACACTCCTACATATCATTTTGTATATGACGCTATATAATACAATACTTTGACTCATATTTTGTTTTGTGTTCTTGGCATTATCTTTCATGTATATCTTTTGGTTTCTTCGTTATCTTTCTATTCTGCTGCTTCTTCTTCTTATTGGTTTTATTTTTGCTGTTCGGCTAAAAGTTGTTACAATAAAATTGTTTGCGATCATAAAAATGCCTATTATCAAAAAGAATATACCAAATATTGTGTATATATTAATATATATATATATATATATATATATATATATAGTGTGTAAATGTGTGTGTGTGTCATAGTTAGGATCCGTGTCAAGTGTATTTGTATATATACAAAAGTCCAGTTGTGGGTTATTTTTCCATTTCAGTTTCAAGTTTCGTTTGTTTCTCTTTGGCTAGCCCTAATTGTAGGAATGCGTTAAAAAATGGGTTTAGGATTAGGATTCCAAGTGCAAATCAAGAACCAAGGAACACTCAAATATGCTACTAAATGCCGAATCTGGCCATTATCCGTGGATAGGCGTTCGTCCAGTGCTGCGCTTACAGCTCGGTCACCGCATAGTTGCTCTCGTCGGTTATCGCCGGCGGCGGCGGTGGCAGATCGTCGTCGTCATCCAGAACGCCAGAGTTGCCCGCATTGGCGACAGCTGTTGCTGCTGCTCCGCCGCCGCCGCCTGCGCCGTTGAGCAGGACTAGTCCGTTGCCAGCCTTGCCGTTGGCAGCTTGGATGCGTGACTTGGGCGTTGCGTTGTCCACGCTGCTGCCGAGATGCGTTTGCGCCTCCATTGGAGGCGGGGGCAGTGCGGCATCATCATTGTTGACGCCGCCGCCGCCGCCGCCATTCTGCAGCGCAGCATCCGTTTGCGCCGTGGGCGGCGGCGGCGAGGTGGGCGTGCCAATACGTGGCGGCGGTATAGCCTTCATCTGGGGCGGCAACTTCATCGGTGGCCGTTGCAAAGTCCTAAACGACGGGAAGATTGAGCAGAATCGGAAGGTTTGAGAGCGGCGCACGAATCGAGCGACCAACTTACTTGGAATAGTTCTGCGTCTGATGCTGCTGATGCTGCTGCTGCTGCTGATAGATGGACTCCACCTTGGGCTGTTCCGCATCCTTGGGTATTTCAGGTAAGGGGCAATTGAGTATCGATGGCTTGTACTTGGGATCGAACTTGCCACCCTGACGCAGCGTCGAGCATTTGTAGATTTGCTTGTCCCGATCGTATATAGCCGAATCCATGGCGGTGCTGATTGGCACCACCTCCGTTTCTGGCACCTGCTGCTGCTGCTGCTGCTGCTGCTGCAGCTGCTGTTGCTGTTGCTGCGGCGACTTCAGCTGATGCTGTAGCATCTGCTGCTGTTGCTGCTGCGAAGGCGGCGGCGGCTGCTGCTGCTGCTGCTGCGCATGCTGTGGGTGGGCATGAGGATTTGGCTGCTGCTGCTGCTGCTGGTGGGGATTCGGCGGTGGCTGCGCCTGCACGGGCTGCTGGTGATGATGGGCCGGTATCTGCGGACCACCCTGACTATTCTGGCGTCGCATCGTCGCCAAGTTGGATACGTAAATGGAGCCCTGGCTAACCGCCACCAGCGGCTGATAAATCGAATGCGGATTGCCATTGGGCGCCAGCTGACCGGCCAAATGAGCCGGAATCTGCTGATAGATCTGGCTCTGGCCCGGCGGCGGCAAATGATGCTGCTGTGCATGATGTGCCGCCGCAGCTGTCGTATAAGTGCCATACTGCTGGGCCTGGGCCTGGGCCTGAGCCTGAGCCTGGGCCTGCTGCTGATGATAAATGGCGTGCTGATGCTGTACGGCGGCAGCAACTGCGGCCGAGTGCGAATGGGGATGTGCGTGTGGATGAGCGTGCGGATGCTGATGTGGATGATGGCAGTAGATTGGCTGTGGCCCCAATTGTTGTTGCTGCTGCTGCTGCTGAGCCTGGGCGTGAGCGTGGGCCTGGGCCACCTGGGCCTGCGTGGTTGGCGGTATGGAGGAAGCGGCTGCGGCTGCTGCGGCGGCGGCGACGGCGGCGGCTGGCGACGATTTTCAGTAAAAGTCATTGGCTTCCAAAGTTTTGCATTGTTTGCTTAGGGTTGCATATTTACCGTTATTGGGACCTAAAATGTACACACAATTAGCAAGGCGGATGAGGATACGGATACGGATGTGACGGATTGATGGAAGTCGGCGAACGATGCAAGTCAAACGCATGGAACGAGAATGAGGTAAGTAAATGAGCACAAAACAAAACAAAACAAGACAAAATAAAACGAAGAGCTCAACAGTTCCAAATTCGAACCGGTTCAAAAAGCGGGTTCACGTAGCGCCTCGAATTGTAACTCGAACTAGTATATATTCTAAGATATATCTCTATATTTAGATCCAAAGGATTCTAGGCACTTAAGACACTTCGCCTTTGGTTAAAGCTTTAGGATTTATGAATCGAATTCTTTTATTAATATTATCATCGAGTGAATAGATTTTTAATCTTTGAAAAAAAGAAAAAAAAACAACAAAGAAAACTTGGATCTGCAGATAGGAAAAGCTTTCAGCAAGTGCCCTTGAGTTGAAGCTCGTTTCGTGAACCAGTTATCTCAGTACTATCTGAAGTTAGAGCACTACGGACAGTTACTATGCAGACTGTTCTTAAGTTAAGTTGTTTAGGACAAAAGAAAATGGAACGAATCAAAATCGAAATTTGAAATTTAAAAATTTTAGTTTTTGGTTCGCTAACTGCAGCTGATAATTTTTAATTTTCATATAATATATATATATACAGTTATTTTTAACAGTCAATAGATAAAGCGAGAGAAAGAGAGAGAGAGAGAGAGTTGGGATAGTGCAGGTGATGCTAATAGTGCTACTGATGGCATTTGCTACGATGCTGTTGTTGGTGTTGGTGTTGGTGTTTGGTGTTGTTGGTGCTTGGTGTTTGGTGTTTGGTGTTTGGGTGTGGGTATTGCCATTGTTGTTGGTGTTCAGCTAACGGCACTTGCACTTACCAGTCATGTGGGTGGGGCTATGGTTGTGCGACGGCAGTCTGCCGAGCGTGTGGGTGCCCATTGCCCGCATGTTCTGCTGGATGTGTGCGTGGGCCATCATCTCGTGCTGCTGGCGCTTATTGGGATGCTGGAGGGTGTGCGAGCCGCTGATCACCGGTGGACTGAAGTGCCTGCAAAGAGAGCGGGTTTGCCGAGCTGCAATGGGATCAGTCTAGGGATCAAGTAACACCTACCCGTTATGGTTGCGTGGCAATGTGCGTGCCGCATTCATCATCTGCTGATGGTTCTGTGGCGCCGGGTGCGATATATACGACGGCTCGTCGACCTGGGCATAGTCGTTCCGCTTGCGTATATAGATCCATGTGTGCGAATCGACCCACACCATTATCGTCAGCAGTATGGCAGCTATGAAGCTGGCAATCAGCATCAGCACCAGGCCCAGCAAGCCGCCCTCGCAGAGGCCACGTGCCGCGGCCAGGAAATTGTGATGCACCGCCTTGCAGTCGACCAGGGCGGTCAGCTGGGTGAGCAGCCGTTCGCTGCTGTTCAAATCGGCATTGACCGCACCCAATTTCGGCTGCAGGCCCGAGCTCTTGAAGAGCACCAGCGAGATCTTCATTACGGTGGCCATGGCGCTGCGGGCGTTGTTCAGCGAGTTCTGCGATTCGCGCAGGCGCTGGGTGAACGGGTTCGTGTGCCCCGGCTCGCACTGGGTGTAGTGCAGCAGGACGTTGGTGGGCAGATCCCTTGGCGCTGTGGAGACCAGAAAATCGGCTGGGCTGATGCACAAGTCGCCCACGGCCACCGACGATGACAGATAGAGGCCGGACATGAGCCAGGAGCCGGTGACAGCGAGCAGGCCGCAAACGCTAAACAGTATTAGGGCGCAGCGCGAATGCCGTGCCACGCCCACTAGCAAAACAGCACAGAGCACAAGCAGCAGAGCCAGAGTTGCCACCGTTCCGGGCCAGCGGATCAGCTCCCATTGATCGCCACGCTGTGCAACGAAATGAATCGAACGAATCGGATCAGGGATCAGACATGGGAGACGGGGGAAGGTGGCAGGGAGCAGCCAATGATTATAGATAGCACAACTAGCCAACGGTACTCACGGTGAGGAAGTGCGTCATCGAGATGCCCATCAACGGACGTCGTATATCGCTGGCCGCATTGGTGGCCAACGTCACATTGCCCTGAACAATATTGAGCGAGACAAAGAGCTTGGAGAGCGCCGTCTGATTGGAGACCGGCTGATCAAAGATGTCCGCCAGCTCCACCAGCTGCGGCCGTATGCGATTGGTCAGCGTGTTCTCCAGGATGTGCGTCTGATTCCGTATGGTCGTCACCAGATTGTCAACCTTTCGCCCGGCGGTCAGCACCTCCAGCAGTCCATTGTGCAAGTCGTCGTTGCCATAGAGGCCCAATCCAATTGCCGCACAGCACATCACCGTAACTATCGACAGGGCCACCTTCAGGCTGGTTATCGAGTGGGCCGGCCGTGGCTTCCGGTCACAGCAGCGCGTCATCAAATAAAACAAGAGTCCCAGCAGCGAGACGATCAACAGTGCCGCCGGCACCGATCCCAATATTCCCAGGCTCTGATCGTGTGCGAGAGAGAATAGTTAATCAATTTCTGTGATGATGTATCTATACTACTATCGAAGGGTCTATCTGTTCTGGCTTAAATGTCTTCGATAGTTATCGATCACTCAATATAATAATAATAATATAATACAAGCCTGATTTGCTAAGATGGAGTTCTATATCTAAGATCATTCAATGAAAACTAAGGAGTGGACTATAGCAAGATCATCAATATCGTATCCGTTACTTATCGATCACATCATAGCCACATTACAGCCACAAGATACTTAACAGTAAATTAGGCCTGACTTTTTTTGTAATGAACATAACTGAATACTTATCGATAACTCATCGATTACTGTGCATTGTAATAGTTAGCTGTAGTGCAGAGATAACGCGTAGAAGGCCAAAAATTATATATATTTTATAATTTCTATCAATAAATATATATAAAAAATAAACATTTTTTGCTTTTGCACAAATTAATCGAGAAGTTCTTGCTTTGCCTTTGCTTGATACTCTTCAGTAGTTTATCTTTATATGATATATGGCTTATCAAATATATATGCATATGAAAAATTGGATAGTGGATTAGTTCTACTCTGAGCGCATAACTTTTTCAATAGATTTTTCCGACTAAACGTGAACTTGCTCTTTCGTTTCTATATTTATCATCTTTATGGGCGTATACGAAGTCTTATCAAATTGGAATACCATATCATATCTTTTATAGCAATAATATATAATTATTATCGATTATCTCTTTATTCTTTCTTGTCTGACCCATAAAAGTCCAAACTTGCATTGTACAAAGTATTGAAGATCTTTACCCTATGATCATTATCATTAACTATTGATATTTATAATCTGAGCTTTAATAGATATATGTAGATATAGTTGGAGTTATCTAAAATTCTCTTCACGCCTACGTTCATGCTCCTCTCCCTTCGGCTTTAGCCCATTGAACGTGAGGGATGAGCCCAGATAGGACTTACCTCCAGGTAGATCTCATCGTTGGGCCGGAACGTGCTGTTGATCTTGTGGAACGTGATGTTGTAGTGGGGCAGTGCGTGCAGCAGCTTGGCTATCACCGGCACTTTGTACTGATCCGTAAACTCATGGTAGTCGCCCATCCTGGACTTGGGACTGGCCGTCGAGTGCTCGGACCGCGTTTACCAAAATGGCCCGGTGTGTAAAGCTGTGGAGTTTGGAAATGGTATGGAGTTTGGAGACGCAATGGGCGTGCGAAAGCTCCTGCAGGTGTCGACCTCGTCCTCGTCCTCGTCCTCGTCCGCGTCCGCGTCCTCTACTTCGTCACTGGGCTTCGTGCTCTCGGTGCAGAGTTTTAAACTCTTGACATCAAACTGTCGCACACTGTGACAAACGTGAAGGAAACAAGCAACATGGTAACACAATTAGTTCATAAGGCTCTTCAAGGATTCAGCTCATTGAGAAAAGAAAATGTTAGGCGTGGTTTGGCACGTTCCAAACGCTGTTCAGTTATCTATAGTGTGGTAAGTATATATAAGTGGGTGCATACATACAACCTCGCATAGACATATGTACGTATATGGAACAAGGAACGTCCTTATGTGTGTAGATAGTATCTATGCACATCTAGGAGAGTCTATATGTATGCTATACAGACCCCTCTAAGATGAACTGCAACAAAAATTTAAAAAAAAAAAACGAACTTAACGTCTTTTTAAGTGACGCACTTTTCCATGCCATATGAAATGGATAGATAATACAACAAAATTCGATTTTTGCGCTATTATCAAATTCTTTATCACATGCTTTTCAACACGATTACTTCGCTAACCAAATTTAGTTTTGAATGAATCACAAATTTCGCTCAACTCATTCAAATTTTGCTTATTTTCTTCTCGCGCAGAAAAGATCTTGTACACATTTTGCAATTTAAACAAAACATACGATTATCCGGTTGGGTAGGGGATTCGCCGTTGATGAGACGGTTTATGTGTGTGTGTGTGTGTGCGTTTGCTTTGTGGCGTGTACTTGTGTGTGTGTGTTTGTTGTGTGGGCATGGCCTTTATTATTTAATAAGCATGTGGGCGAACGCTGGCAACCCAAAATGAGCCATGTTGCAGCACTTTAATTAAAAATTGTCTGTGCAACGCGTTCTTGCTCCCATTTTTTTCTCAGCGCTACTTCCCTATACGAACACTGACACACACAAACACACACAGCCTTAGCCACAGCCACACAAGTTTACTGAAAGAGAAACGCACACGCACACCCTTAAATCTCTGCTTTGTCGAAAGCCCGCACACTCTGCTGGAGCGCTCTGTTATTGACGCTGCGGCTGCCCAGCGCAATAGCAATTTTGTTCACTTGTCTTCCTCTTTCTCTGCTCCTGCTCTGCTAGCCGAGTGCGAATACGAGTAGCGGTAAAAAGGTATCAACCAGGCGAGCACTCATTGACTCCCGCTTACTCTCTCTCAGTGTCAGTCTGCCTCTCTCCGTCTATCTCTCTCTCGCTCTCTTTTGGCAAGCTATTTCAGCTACTTGCGCGCTCACGCTGTTATACTTTTCTTTGTTGTTGTTGTTGTTGTTGTTACTGCTGCTGGTGGTATTCCCGTTATTGTTGCTTTTGTAGAGCTCCTGTCGTCGTCGTCGTTGCTGTCGTCTTTCGTTCGTATGGGTGTGTGCATATGTATGTGTTTGTATATATATTGATTAAAAGTTCGCACTGTTTCCTTATTCCTTATGTTCGGTCTCGCGTTGTGCTCGTGCCACGCACTCGTAATTGCTGCGCTTGCCGCCCACTTTCTTTCCACGCCCCCACATGCCAAGTGCAGCACAGCATCTTGCGCTTAGTTAGTTGTTGTTGTTATGGCTTTGTGCTTTTAGCCAATTGGGCATTGCAATATTTGACAGTTGCCATTACAAATGCGACCACAGCAGCCCACTGCCCGCAGCTCCCACTTACACGCCCACTGCACACGGAGGCAGTGACACGGGCGCATGTGTGCGTGCATGTATATACATGCATGTACATATACATATATGTATACAATTTACATACATACACACATATATATTGCTGGTTTTTGGGACACGCATAATCGAGAGCACACCCACTGTATCTCCGGACGCTGCAAGCTTTCAATAACAACGGACAGAGCCTGCATGCTATATACACTTATCCATACATACATGAGTCCATATATATATATATATATATATATTTATCTATATATATATATATATATATGTATATATGTGTGTGTATATATGTATGTATGAATGTAGATATTTTTACATTTCTAACTGCATTTACATAGTTTGCATGTCGCAGTTCGTTTTGAGTGCGACACAGGACATTACAACAAACACTCCCTTTTTTCTTCTTTTGCAAAATGGGTACACAATTTTTCACAACAAACAAAGCTGAAGAACGCTGGGAGCTTAGTTGCGAGCCTCGACGTTAGCCGCATTCGCGTTCTGCTTACTTTTAAATTTGATTTTCGCCAGGCACAAGACCACAAATCGTATATTTAGACGGCAACGGAGAACTTTTCTTGACAAGTTTTTAGCATTTTCACTCGAGTTGTATTTGTGATTTGTATTCGATTCAGTTGCCTTCGTTTTTATTTAATTTTTTTGCTTTTTAGTTTTTTTTTATTATTTTTTTTTTAGTTTTTATCGCAACGTCGTTGAGGCATACGTCCTGCAGGAACTTTACATTCCGAAGACTGAGCAAAGTATGAAAAGTTTTTCTCGTCCAACTTGGTCACACCCTCTACAATACGCATACGATGTTGATATGCCATAGGCGACGCTCTTAGCAGTTAGAGGATAACAGGAGACTGAAGTCCTTTCGGCGCTCTTGCGCTCCGTGCGCATTTTCCCACCCCCTCTGAACAGCACGCATTGCCAGTGTGTACACATAAATATGCAAAATATAACCGACAATCACTGCTTGTACTCATTGGTCTAGCTAACTAATAAGATAATTTGAAAACAAAGCTATCAATAAATTCAATCATAAGAATAAATGACAAAGTTAAGAAAACTAATCTTAAGAAAGATTTTTGTTTAGAAAGACTTATGTATAATGGATTGTTTTGAATAAACCATTCTGTTAATATTTAAAAATCAACTCATTCTCTCTAACCTTCTGTTTGTCTTTCGATCTCTCTTTCTCTCGCGTAATGATCTTGAAAATCATAGCTAAGCTCACTGCCAGTTCGATCTTTTCAATGTCATCGATCTGAGTACGCAACAGCATTTGACCCACGCTTGATAAGAATGTTTCTGACCTGTTGACATCAATCCGGACTGGCATATATTTATTGAAAACAATTTCGTCCTGTACGCAGCAGAGTTATATACATTTATTTATTTATATAATATGTAGTATATACATATGTATTCGTATGTTAGAACTTACAAATCTTTATATGCTGCATAAATGAATTACATTCGTCGACATCAATGATACCATTCAATTATAATATATCATTTCTTATTTTATTAATGTTTTTTATTAAGTCTTGTATTTTATTTATTCGGATTACAAGAATACAAGTAACTAAGACCAAGTTGTTCAATGCGCACATTTAAATAAAATAATAATTATCGATAATGATAGCTATGGCGTTATCGCATGAGTCGAGCGCTTTCATAATTTTTTTCATAATGAGTAATCGATAAGTAGAAATATCGGCAGTGATGCCATCGCTAAAATAGGCACAGGCACATATTCATTGAAATAGCAATAACAAGAACGGGCTCACAGCCGTCTTCGCCGTCCGTCTCCGTGTCCGTGACGCAAAATTGTTACTTTTATGCTTCTCTCCGCTCCCACACAAGAAGAAGCAGCAGAGTGCGTAGCATATCCAGGATGAGTGTTTTACCGTTTGTGCGCGGCGTTGACTTTACTAAAAATGATTTCAGCGTAAGTATTCTGTGTTGTTGTTGTTGTTGCTGCGAAGCTAAATGCGGAATGTAAATGCAAATGCTAAATTAAGTGCTGATCGCTAGCTGCTGGCTGATGACTGTTTCACCTGTATAAGCGGGTCAGTCCCAGTCTTAGATTAGTAGTTCAGTCATTGCTCCAAATAAGAAAGAAAAAAAAAATTATAACCATTCACGGCGAATTTGTCATCGCGCAGCGCACAGCTGCTGCAGCTGCTGACGTTGACGTTGACGTCTACGCCGACGTTGACGCTGACGCCAACGCCAACGTTAGCGTCGAAGTTAACTGCACCGTTTGATTTTTGTTTACATTGTCCATTACTTACCGTTATGATCATTGATTGTTATTACTTACCGCGTTGCAGAAAACATTCCCCAGCTCCATGCGGCAAATGTCCCGCGTCCAGTGGCTGAGACTGGACCACACACAACTACAGCAAATACCCGAGGAGCTGGGCCATTTACAAAAGCTCGAGCATCTCTCACTCAATCACAACCAGTTGGAGAAGCTCTTCGGTGAACTAACGGAACTGCCATGCCTGCGCTCGTTATATCTGCGCCACAATCAACTAAAGAACAGCGGCATACCACCCGAATTGTTCCAATTGGAGGAGTTGACCACGCTGGATCTGTCGCACAATCGCCTTAAGGAGGTGCCCGAGGGCCTGGAACGTGCCAAGAATTTAATTGTGCTTAACCTAAGCTTCAATCAAATCGAGAGCATACCCACAGCGCTGTTCATACATTTGACGGATTTGCTCTTTCTCGATTTATCACACAATCGCCTGGAGACGCTGCCGCCTCAAACACGACGTTTAATCAATCTGAAAACGCTGGATCTGTCCAACAATCCGCTAGAGCTATTTCAACTGCGCCAGTTGCCCTCGCTGCAGAGCCTCGAGGTGCTCAACATGAGCTGCACGCAGCGAACGCTGCTCAACTTTCCCACCAGCATCGACAGTCTGGCCAACCTGGTCGAGCTGGATCTATCGCACAATGCACTGCCCAAGCTGCCCGACTGCGTGTACAATGTGGCCACGTTAGTGCGCCTCAATCTCAGTGACAATGAGATTAACGAGCTCAGCTCCAGCCTGGAGCAGTGGCAGCGTCTCGAGTCGTTGAATTTATCGCGCAATCAACTGACCGTCCTGCCCGCTGCTCTCTGCAAGCTGTCGCGGCTGCGTCGCCTGTTTGTCAACGACAACAAGCTCAACTTCCAGGGCATCCCGTCGGGCATCGGTAAGCTGGGCGCACTCGAGTGCTTCTCGGCGGCCAACAATCTGCTCGAGATGGTGCCCGAAGGTCTGTGCCGGTGCGGAGCTCTTAAGCAGCTCAATTTGAGCAGCAATCGGCTGATTACACTGCCCGATGCCATTCATCTGCTGGAGGGCCTGGATCAGCTGGATCTGCGCCACAACCCGGAGTTGGTGATGCCGCCAAAGCCCAGTGAGGCCAGCAACGCGACTAGCCTGGAGTTCTACAATATAGACTTCTCACTACAGACGCAACTACGTTTGGCCGGTGCCGCAGTGCCGCCCTCCATACCGGCCGCACCGACGCCGAAGGATGCGACGGCGCGCAAAATACGTTTGCGTCGCGGGCCGCGTGTGGAGGGTCAGGATGGCGGCCAGGATGCCGCCAAGGTGCTGAAGGGCATGAAGGATGTGGCCAAGGATAAGGACAAGGAGGACGGTGATATGATGACAACAGAGTCGTTGAAGCCCAAACGGTGGGACGAATCGCTGGAGAAGCCCCAGTTGGACTACTCCAAATTCTTTGAGAAGGAGGACGGCCAGCAACCGGGTCTAACCATCTGGGAGATTGAGAACTTCCTGCCCAACAAAATCGATGAAGTGGTGCATGGTAAATTCTACGAGGGCGACTGCTACATCGTGCTCAAGACCAAGTTCGATGAGCTGCACACGCTCAACTGGGAGATCTACTTCTGGATTGGCAATGAGGCAACGCTGGATAAGCGCGCCTGCGCCGCCATCCATGCGGTCAACTTGCGCAACTATCTGGGCGCTCGCTGTCGCACGATACGCGAGGAGCAGGGCGACGAGTCCGATGAGTTCTTGGCCCTGTTCGAGACGGAGGTCATTTACATTGAAGGCGGACGCACTGCGACCGGTTTCTATACGATCGAGGAGATGATACACATAACACGGCTGTATCTGGTGCATGCGTATGGAGCCAGTATACATTTGGAGCCGATGGCCGTGGTGGTGCAGTCGCTGGATCCGCGGCACGCCTTCGTCTTGGATTTGGGCACACGCATACATATCTGGTTAGGCAAGCGTTCCAAGAACACGCTCAATTCCAAGGCACGCCTCATGGCCGAGAAGATCAACAAGACGGAGCGCAAGAACAAGTGCGACATTCTGGTCGATATGCAGGGAGCAGAAAGTCCCGAGTTCTGGGAGGCATTCGATATATTGCCCGAGGAGGCGGCCCAGCTGCCGCCGCCTAAAGAGCACATCGATGAGAACTATATGCCAGTGCAGCCGCGCCTCTACCAGGTGCAGCTGGGCATGGGCTACCTGGAGCTGCCGCAGGTGGAGCTGCCCGAGCAGAAGCTCAGTCACACGCTGCTCAACAGCAAGCACGTCTACATCCTCGACTGCTATACGGATCTGTTTGTCTGGTTTGGCAAGAAGTCGACTCGCCTGGTGCGCGCCGCCGCAGTCAAGCTGAGCCGCGAGCTATTCAATATGCTCGAACGGCCAGACTGTGCGCTGGTCATGCGCGTGCCGGAGGGCAATGAGATGCAAATCTTTCGCACCAAATTTCCGGGCTGGGATGAGGTTATGGCTGTTGACTTTACGCGCACTGCCAAATCGGTGGCCAAAACGGGCGCCAATTTGACGCAATGGGCGCGTCAACAGGAGACGCGCACAGATTTGGCGGCGTTGTTCATGCCACGACAGAGTGCCATGCCGCTGGCCGAGGCGGAACAGCTGGAGGAAGAGTGGAACTACGATCTCGAGATGATGGAGGCCTTTGTGCTCGAGAACAAAAAGTTTGTCCGGCTGCCCGAGGAGGAGCTTGGCCATTTCTATACGGGCGAGTGCTATGTCTTTCTATGCCGCTACTGCATACCTGTTGACGATGGCGATGCTGGCGAGGGTGGCGTCGAGGCCAACGGAGATGACAGCAAATCGGCGCCGCCCGAGGACGAAATCGAGTGCGTTGTCTACTTCTGGCAGGGTCGCAATGCCGGCAACATGGGCTGGCTTACATTTACGTTTACCCTGCAAAAGAAGTTCAAGGCAATGTTCGGTGAGGAGCTGGAGGTGATGCGCATCTTTCAGCAGCAAGAGAACCTTAAATTCATGTCGCACTTCAAGCGCAAGTTCATCATACATACGGGCAAGCGTAAGGACAAGGCGCTCACGCCCGATGGCAAGCCAGCCGTGCAGTTCTTCCATTTGCGTTCCAATGGCGGTGCGTTGACCACACGGCTCATACAAATCCAGCCGGATGCAGTGCACCTGAACTCGGCCTTCTGGTAAGTGGCTTTTACAAATGAATATTCAAATTTGAAAGTCTGATAATCTGGTACTTCGCGCAGCTATATTCTACATGTGCCATTCGAAACGGAGGACGAGCCGCAGTCGGGCATTGTGTACGTTTGGCTGGGCAGCAAAGCATGCAACGAGGAGTCCAAGCTGGTGCAGGATATAGCCGAACAGATGTTCAACAGTCCGTGGGTGAGCCTGCAGGTGAGTCGTCACTAAGGAATCATTTGTCATTCATCAACTCACCGAACAATGATTGGTCCCAAAACTCAGATACTCAACGAAGGCGACGAACCGGAAAACTTTTTCTGGGTGGCGCTGGGTGGCCGCAAGCCATACGATACGAATGCGGAGTATATGAACTACACACGACTGTTTCGCTGTTCCAATGAGCGGGGCTACTATACGGTGGCCGAGAAGTGCGCGGACTTCTGCCAGGACGATCTGGCCGACGACGATATTATGATACTCGATAATGGTGAGCACGTCTTCCTTTGGATGGGGCCGCGTTGCAGTGAGGTAGAGGTGAAGTTGGCCTACAAATCGGCCCAGGTCTACATACAACACATGCGCATTAAGCAGCCGGAACGGCCGCGAAAACTGTTCCTCACCATGAAGAACAAGGAGTCGAGACGATTCACAAAGTGCTTCCACGGCTGGAGCGCTTTTAAGGTGTACATTTAAAAACGCCGTGCGGTGCCGTGACAGAGTAGCCGCCGGACATGACAATTTTCGACTGCAATATACACACACCCACACACACACATATATATACATGCATACACACGACACATAATCGCCAGCAAATGTTTGTACTTTTATAATGTATTTAATTGTTTATTATTATTTTTTATTTAGAGCCGTTGTTTATTTTTTTTATATATTTCGCCGCCCAATTAATTAATTAACTTACCACTCGCCCCTGTCTACGCAAAGTATTCTTTTTATCTTGAGATATGTTTACATAGCTTTTGTATGTACTACTTATATATTATACATATTTATATGCTGAGCCGGCGAAGTTTTTGTGCTAGTCTTTGAAGGTGTTATCCTCAGAAATCGAAATGTTACGAAACGAAATCCAAACAATTGCTAATTTGCACAATGTCTTGCTGCCTGCAAAAATTCGCCAACTAATTGTACAAAATCATATTTATTGCAATTAACCAATTATACAAAGGAAAGTGAATAAAAATGCCAATTGAAAAATGAAGTTTTTTTTTTTTGAAAGTCGCGCGCATTGTGATATGCAGCTGGTGGTGCCAGATCACTCAATTTTTGCATCAAATTTCGGAGAAAAGGTACCGAATTATGCAAGTGTTTTGATTTTTGTAGTCGATAATTCAAAATGTAGAAAAAAAAAACAAATAATTCCGAAACGACAAGCCCAAAAACTGAACTAGGACTTTTGATCGAGGTAATATAACTCAGTCTATATTTTCACTTCGACGTGAAATGTAAATTATTTTGTTTCTCAGAATTATCAGAATTAAAAATTTTCTCAGAACTAATGTGTTAACAACCGCTGTTGTGCCAAGTATTATCGAATCTCTTTCGATACAAATCGTTGCACCGATATATCGATGGTTGATTATACAGCACTACAAAACGGCGTCGATGTACCTTTGCCATAGAGTCGGATTCCGCGTTTATTTCTTTTTGCCACTCAATTTTTGTTAAAGAAAATTGTTGCTGCCTCGGTAAGTGAATTAAAAAGTTGCATATATAGACGACGACTGCAGTGTATGGGCTAGATCGAGGCATTACTTTGTGTTCTTTTTTCCTGCTTTGCGTGTGGTTTTCGCGCTTCGTTTCGTTTTGGGCCAAATATTTGAGGCGGGTCAGGCAAAACTGTGGATGTGCTTGTGTCCCTGCTGGTGCTCGTGGTTGTGGGCTCTGACAGATAGCTAAGAAGCGACAATTAGTTACATTCAACACACATTCACATACTCAAAATGGATCTGTTCGACATGGTCCGAGCTGCACCACCACCACCAACAGTACGAAAGGATTCAGCTGATGACGATGCCAAGGAAAAACGTACAACTCCATCGTCATCACCGTTGCCTGTATCTCCAGTTTTCAATTTGGGTACACTATGCCGAAACCACTCTAAATTCAATTCAATTAATGCTCAAATTATTTACAGAAGATTCTGACAGTGACTTGATTCAACTTTCGCCGGAACGAGAAGTCGCGTCAACACCAAGGCCCGCATCACCTATCCATATAGGCTAGTTACAACTAAAGTTAAAATGTACTACAATTATTAAAACTGATTTCTTTTCACAGAAGATGACGAAAATACAAAAGCGGATGACATTGAGCTTATTGAAGACACTAAGTCACAAGAACCTGTGCGTACATCTCCCAAAAAGACCGACGGCGACGCCAAAATCGTCGTTGACGATGACGATGACGATGACTGTATCATGAAGGATGTTGAGGAAGATGACGAAGATCAGCTACTTATGCAGCCGCCCAAAACGAAGGCTGAACAAAAAATGTTTATGGATGTGAAATCGGCCTCAAAAGAGCAGCAAACTACTAACTCTGCAGACATCAGACGATGCATGGTGCGCATCAAGCGCTTGAAACAGTCAGAGATTGAACGTTACACAACTGGCAAAGGCTTAAAATGCAAAAGGCCACGCAAGCGACGACAAAGCAGCTCAGATTCCTCAGCTCAAGAAGATTTGCCATTGGCCGTCAAGAAGCTAAAATCGAGCAATAAAAAGGTGCACGTTAAGGTGCCCTTTCTACAGAACGGCTCCAAGAAACGATCTTCGCTCAATATATCACGCGCTCAGACGCCGCCGCCGACTTTGAAAAAATCACCCAAGCGAATCAAACCATTCAGTGCTAGTAAGACGCTGGTCAAGCAGTATGGAACTCGCTTCTTTAATTGCTATGTCAAGTTGAAGCGTTTGACGGACACTGACATCAGCACATCCAAGCGGACAAAGCGCAAATCCAAATCGAAGCTGTCCGTGTCATTTAGTGAGGCTGTCGAAATACTTGGCAGCAAACCGCGCAAATCTTCGTCCATTTCGGGTACGCCCAAGCTGTTGTCCAAGCTGTGCAGCTCGGTGCCAACGCGTTTGCAACGTGTCGACGCCACTGGAAATGTGCTCGAAGACATTGAACTGAATCCGGATTCGGTCTTTAAATCTTCTACCAGCTCGGGCAGTCACAAAAAGCGAGGACGTCAGGCCTCTTGTAACGGCGGAAAGCGGACTAGCAGCAAGCTCAAGCGGCCAGCAGTGCACGTTCCAGTCACTGATTTGGCCAGTCTACGGATCAATGACAGTCACGATGAGGCTGAGGAGGAAGCAAGAAACGATCCTAATGAAGAGTATATAGGTAAGTTGGGACTAAGCTCAAGGAAGGACTAATCTTTGACATTCAGTTATTATTTAGACCAAACATTATTTCCTATTATAGTGCCCAATGATATGCCAGTTTTTCAAACTCTGGATGTGCGTCGCTCTGGCACTCCGACGCCACAGAAACGGATAACCGTAACAACAACTGTTAGTGACGATGAGGATGTCGATGAACCAGAGTCAGGATCGAAGCCGGAATGTAAAATTAAGGAAACTGCTGAAACACCTGGTTCAGCCAAATCTGAAAAAAATAAACAAAAAAAAGTAGCTGGAGCAGAGGACGAACAAACAGAAGCAAAAGAACAAAAGCCTGTACAAACAGAGCTAGAACAGAAGCTGCCGGCTGAAGATCCGGAGCAGAACGATTCAAAAGAAAACTCTCCTCTGCCAACAGCGCTAGCGGATGATGACATATTAGAGATTCAAGCGTCTCTTGAGGATGTGCGAGAGCTGCACACACCACCATCTAGACAAATTACGCCGCTGTTGACGCTGCCATCGTCAACTAAAACCAATCGTAACCGGCGCTGCGAATCACTGGAGTCAGAGAGCAGCTTCAAGTCTGCCCATGAAGCAGAGATCAGCGGTGTAGCCCAAGCTAGTGCACCACCACCTGTTGCAGACAACACGCTCAAAGGCAGTGACCAGCCTGACAGCGGTGCATGCAGTACACCGCAACCGCCGTACCCCCTGATCATTGATATGCCGAATCTAGATGAAGATGAACTCGGTCGGCTCGTAGGTGCGTAATGTGGATTTTTTTTCTGTTACTAGTTATATTTTAATGTATTTGTATGTATATTTTTTGATGTAAATGTTCATTTTTATAATTGCTTGGGCTTTAATCTTGTATTGGTCTTTCATGTATTGTAGAGCCCGATTTTCAAATGTCCAACAGCCTCCATTCAGACTCTAGACTCACAATGGAGGATATTATGACAGTGTTCGAAGCTTAGACAAAGTCAACAAGATGAACGCGTCGCGTAGGTTATTAACAGCGCCTTATTTTCTGTCTCGTTCTAAATGCTTCTCTATACATATTTATGCGTGTGCTTATGATTCCATATGTGTGTGCGTGTGCGAGTGTGCGTGCGTGTTCGTGTGTCTGTTCTACATTGCATGCCCATAGTTTGCCATCTCTTTTACTGCACGAAAAGATTCTGTTTGCTGATGCTGTTACTGTTACTGTTACGTTGCTAGCTAACATAACATTTCGACATACTGTTATTCCGTAGACGTTCACCTATCATCATGTTTGATTACATTATTTATGTGATTTATGTGGCTTAATGAACAAGAAAGCGTCAAAATAATAAGTGAATAAGCGGCAAGCGGATTACACGTCTACTTCGAAAATGTTTCTTATAGTGAAACCAGAATAGTTTCATGATGCATTGACATATTCTAAGTAAGAAATTTGACTATAGTTGAGATATTTTAGATTCGGGACAATCTTTTGTTTCATTCACAAATACGGTTACCTTTTGTGTATTCAATCTAAAGATATCTCCAAATTTCTTAAGAAATATTGGACTAATTCTTTATAGGGTCTGGTCTATAAAAACTCGTGAAATATAGTTTTCTGTTTCTTGGTTATTAAAGTTTTTTTGATCTGTATAGTAGAAAGAGAAAGATATACAGTAGGGAGCAAAAGTGTTTCCATAGTTGACACTTTCAACTTTGTGAGTCGATAATTTCTAAACGAATGAAGCAAATCAAAAAAACTTTTTTTTCCAATAATATGTATTTAATTCTTAACAAATTGCCGTATATAACAAAAACAAAAAATAATCAGTAAAATATTCAAACAAAGAAAACTGAAACAACACGCATGTGTACAATTTTGCACCTTCCGATATTTTTACTTTGGTTTGATTTCTTAATTCTCTTATAGGCAATACACATGCAGTTTTACCCTTATATGTTTTATTTATGCATTCTACACTTTTATGATCCAGAAATCCACGTGTTTCTTATTATTTGAAGTAGATTTGTTAATTTTAGCAATTAGTCTACAAAGTACCGCGAAAAAATGAAGAAGCGTTCGTCAGATGTCGAAAATAGTATTATTAGCCTAACTGAAAGTGGCTATTCGACTCGTAGTACTTCAGATCAGCTTAATATTTTTCATTCAGCGATGTCCGAAGTCCAGAAAAGACGCAATGGTGCATCCAAAAACACTATTAAAGGCCGCAAACGACTCTTAAAGGACTCTGACGCCAGACTGATAAGCTCCTAACACCGAAGAAGGCATCTATGGACATAGGAAAAGACGTGATTCGGCGGGTGGCTAGAAGAGCACTAGCTAAGGTTGGATATGTGGCAAGTGTGAAAAAAATAAACCAGCTCTATCCGAGAAGAATGTCAAGGCTCGATAGAAATTCGCCCGGGAACATAAGAATTGGACTGTAGATGATTGGAAACGTGTCATCTGGTCGGATGAATCCAAGTTCAACCGTTTTCAATCAGATGGCAAGCAATACTATTGGCACAGGCCCGGGGAAAAGCTTCAAAAACACCTTGTGAAGCAAACCGTTAAGCATGGAGGAGGCAATGGGGATGCTTTACTTGGTGGCTCATTGGACCATTGCATAAAATTGATGGTATAATGTTAAAAGAAGACTATCTCAATATTTTGAAAACCTGTCTACCCAATTTTCTGGACAAGTGTGCATATCCCGTAAAGGAAATCATTTTTCAACAAGATGGGGATCCAAAGCACACTGCCAAAATTGTCCGCGAATGGTTACAAAACCAAGATTTTATGCTGATGGAGGGGCCAGCTCAAAGTCCCGAACTTAATCCGATTGAGAACCTGTGGTCAATCGTGAAGCGACGGCTCGGGCAATATCAATCAATGCCATCCAACCTAGACGATCTTTGGAAGCGTGTAGAACTAAAGTGGAACCGAGTTCCAAAGGAAACCATAGAAAAGTTGGTCGAGAGTATGCCAAACTGAATAAAAAATGTAATAGCTAATAAGGGCCTGTGGACAAAATATTGATTTAGAATCATATTAAATTTTTTTCACTGAAGGTGCAAAATTGTACACATGCGTGTTGTTTCAGTTTTCTTTGTTTGAATATTTTACTGATTATTTTTTGTTTTTGTTATATACGGCAATTTGTTAAGAATTAAATACATATTATTGGAAAAAAAAGTTTTTTTGATTTGCTTCATTCGTTTAGAAATTATCGACTCACAAAGTTGAAAGTGTCAACTATGGAAACACTTTTGCTCCCTACTGTATATAAATATATATATAGTTCGTTAAAAATTGTTTTTAATTAATTAATTTTTTTTTGTTATGGAAAAAATGAGGGTTTTCCATCATCTATTCTTAGATATATTCTGGAAACATTGTGGCCAATTTGTTTGGAACTTTTAGAAAACTAAAATCTTTATGGCGAATTAATACTAATTTTTATTTTTAACTCTAGAATAAATATTTTGGTTTTGGTTGTTGCTGCTTGATTAAAGTCAAATTCAATTTTGTTAAAATTTGATAACTAATTAGAGCATTCTTTCCGTTAGACTTAGACGCGGCCTGATGTGGATCGTCCCAGCTATGGACATGCTGAAGGCTATTCGGAGCAACTTAAGCAACATGAAAACATTATTTAGAATTTCTGTTACTCTCACACACAGAATATATTTAGTTAATAACGTTTACTTTTCTTATATGACTACCTTTCGGGTAACATACTCAAATATACAGCAACTCTTATATATGTGCATCACATACGTTTTTGCTAAATTTAAGTTTGGTCCAAGAAATATACTTGTGTTCTTTTTTTATTTTTGGTTTTAATTTGTTGTTTTCCGTACATCAACTACTTTAGGACGTATTACTGCTCTAGTCATACGAGCGCTTAGTTGATACATATTCTATGTTGAATATTCATACTGAATTTAACATTAACATTACAATTAACGTTAATATTAACATTAAGATTAAGTTTAACATTTATGTTTAGGTGGCCTAAACTTCGTTATGTTAGTTAGTTAAGTCGATCGAACGCGCACATGGTCAAACTGCTCCATTAAACACTTCTTTTTTTTAAGTAGACATAAATCAATTCGATGTAATATGAAATAAATAAAGTCAATGTGTAAATGGTAGTTCTATGTTCATATCTATCGATCTATGCCTGTCTGATATATATCATATTTATATATCTATAAAGATATTGATCATAGAAAAGCGACTCCAAAGTGAGAGCACATTATGCTAAAATTTTAATATATATATTCTTATCTCTCATAATAGTTGTAACTGGAGATTTCTGCTGCTTTATATGTATAGTTCAATAACATTCATGGAAGAATTAAATCTTGAATATTTAAAATTAAAAAAACTTTACTGTTAATAATGGAATATTTGCAACAATGTTACGGCTGGTTGAATATTCATAACTAGCTAAAGAGGCTGCTGTCACGCTTAACAGTGCGTGCAGAAATGTTTTGCGAATTCTCTGTTAGACTCCAAATGGCACTGTTAGGGCTTACGCTTCTGTTAAGCTGGCAAATTTGTTGTGACCGTTGCTCATACGCCTCGTTGGCCGTCGTCGAGTGCGGTTGGTTTTGATTTCCTTTGGCTGTTTGTGGTTCGCTGTTCGCTTCGGTTGCTTTCGCTTTCGACGCGACGTTTCACTTGGCGCGTATTTGAATCGCGTTGCGACTGAGTGCAGTTAATTCAAATTTATTAAAATAAGAGAAAAAAACATCATTGGGATTTACTGCAATGGTGCGAAGCAGTTTAAGCGGCGGGCGCTGGTCGCCGGCTAATTGATGGAAGGACCACAGCCTAAAATCAGATAGTGCAAATCGTTAAATTGAACAAGACACAGCGATGCCAGCCAAGGTACGGTCGCCAGCCGACTACGACTCGCAGGATGAGGCAAACACTGAGCTGCTGGAGAAGCTTAAGCATTTGGATCGCCGTGCAGAGGCCGTCGAGAGCGGCAATGGCATCTGCAGTCGCAGCTCCGCCTGCTGGCAATCGCTCAAATTGAAATCAGCTTTGAATCATATCGGACTACTCGTCTCCCTGTCCATCTACTGTGGCGTGGGCGGACTGGTAAGCAACAAATACGACAATCCATGAAACGCGCCTCGCTCGCCAGCAGCAGCGAGCTGACAAGCAGACAAGCAAGCAAACAAACAAACAAACAGACAAACAAACAAATCATTTGCATATTTTTAAAAAAATTGGAAATAATTTTAATGTAACAACAAAATCAGTTTGTGCACTATCTGTGTGCTGAGATCAACACAGAGGGAGAGAGAGAGAGAGAGTGAGTGGGACTTGCTGCATGAATAGATTCTAAAAATCAGCTCATAATTAAGGCATTAAACTATTCTATATACAGTATTTAAGTGCCGAGCGTAGCTGCCACGCCCACGCTAATACTGTTGCCGCCTCTCCGTTAAACGCCCGCGCAGTAAATGCGCCCAATTGCCATGCAAATCATATTCATCTCCAGACGCCAGTCTGGATGCGCTGCATCGTTGACCGCAGCCGCAGCCATGTGTGTGTTGTGTGTGTGTGTGTAGACATTTAGACAAGTTTAAATAGTTGTTGTCTAAACATTTACATTTTTGCCCATGACGTCGTCATTTATTGGCCTCTGATATCGCCAAATATCCATTCATGACTGCACCGTCCGCAAGTGCAGCCACTCTCATTAGCTTGACTAATTGCTGGCTTCCGCAACACACACTTTGGCCCAGTTGACATATGGCCAATTGTCGTGTTCTTGTCACATTTCTGAACAGCCAACAATAGTCAAGCCCGACCCACAGGCCGTAATAACAACGCCTTCCCCAAAGAGTCGTCTTGGCTGCTAGATTTCTTGTTTATGTTTTGCTCTTAGCAATTTTTCTTTCTTTGCTACTCGAGAGTCTATTTCAGGGATATGTATATATAGCTATATACATCCAAGGCATAAATCTTTTAAAGATTGATCGAATTTCAGCAAAATTTAATAACTTGAATAACTAGCCTTATTTCTTGTCCTATGAGTAAATAGTATTTAGAATTTTATATAACTATGTATATAGAGAGAGTCTTGAAGTATTTGAATAGTTTGGCAGAACAAACTAAAGAAGTCAACAGAACGTGGTAACCAAGTGCCATACTTTGGGCTGTAGCTTGAAGTTCTGAATAAGGGATTGAAATCTCTTTTGAAAGGGCTCGTTTTTAAGTCAAGGAATTCTTTCTAAAATCTTAAATAATCTCTTGTTGTGTTATCTGGAAGGTGTCGTCTATTGCATTTTGCTTATGTTCATATTCATAATCGTTTTGGTTCTTAACTATATTTTATTTTATCAACTATATTTTATTGGATCTTACTACAAATCCAGCAGTCGAATGGATTTTTTGGTTGACTTTTTATTAAGTTTTTAGCTATGCAAAGTTTATAATAGGTTAGCGAAAATGATTCATATTACCCCTTGGCTATAATGCTTTGGCTGAAATATAAATATGGAAACGGCGGCCACCTGATCAGTAATTATATACATATATATATATTAATAAATATATTTTTAACTGTCAGGATCAACAGCCAAGTCAGTTAAAACGTGTTCTTCCATCTGCCTTTGCGTGTGATTTCGGAATTAAAGTAAGCACTTTCCTATAGCCAATGATCGATAACTATTGTGCTGATATCGAAGTTCGATTATTTGTGTTTTACAAACTAAAGTTGTTTAACTTGGGCAATAGACTCTTGAGTGCTCTGTATTTAAATACCTTCCTCATAAATTAATCAAAATATGAAAATTCATTTTGTTTATTCATTTCGTCAACTCAGAATGTTAGACCTTTGCTTAAAGAAGCAGCTCATGTGAATAAAAGACGGGATCTACAATAATCAGACCTCTTTTCAGCTATTTATTGCTGATTTCAGGAGATTTGCAGATTCCTTAGGCTTAAGCTAACAATTTAATAATAAATAGTTATTAATTGGGTTGTGGTATCGCTAGTTGGATAGAATTTGCGTCAGATTTGAATGTTTATGCGGGCTTTGTTCATTTAGTGCTGAGTAATCAAACATGATTCATTTATCACTTGACTTTTAATTTGTTTGCAAATAGAGTACTTAACGCCTGATTCATGGGCAGATAATTAAACTTAAACTTTGGCCAGGTTTGAATTCGGCCAACCAGCGAGCATAGACAACACCTCAGGGCCGCGTCTTCGTGTAGTTCAGTGAGCAATTACCGTGAATTAATCAAAATACACACGTACACACACACACATGCACGCAATCACAACCACACGCACTCACACAGACAGCGAGAGTCGGAGGTCGGAGTCGCGCCACCCACAGCATATGTTAGCCAATTACGCGCACTTTGATGCCAAATTGATCATCAAATTGTTGAAAATTTCAATTGAAATTTGAATTTCAATATGAAATACGGAATTGTGAGCATTTGTTTTATGTTCAGCTGGCTTTTTGATTTTCGGTCGGGCTATCCTCAATCGAGTCCATTTAATGAACTGGCTGAGACAAGCCAAGTACCAAAAATAAAATGTGGCCTCATCATTCCCGACCAAAGGCGGCGGCAGCTGCTTCTGTTGCTGCTGCCGCTGCCGCTGCTTCTGCTGCTGCTATTGCTGAGTTGTGTTGCTCGGTTGCGTATACGTAATATTTGGTAAATCATCGAAGCAAAAGCCATAAACGCTCCATTCACAGCGTTCCAGCTGTGCTATTCGTTTGCAAACACTTGCAACGTCCCCCACTTCTTCTTCTTCTGATTTTTCCTCCTCATTTTTGCTGTTCTCGCTGCATTCACTTAAGGTTAATCCTGCAGCTGTGGCACTTCCCACATTTGGTATAAATTTTTGCATTCACTTGTCGAATGTACCAAATGAAATGGAGCTGAATGTCACACAGACACATGCCACGCCACACAAACACCTCATATCATATAACAGTAAATGACTTTAGCATCGAGTTTTAAACATTTGTTAAATTCTGTAAATTCGAAAAACTGAAAACTTTGCTTGGTACATAAAATGAACTACTTTTACACAGACAGATAACAATCAAGGATCTTAATTGTATTATATCTACATTATATATTTCTTATTTGTTCATCTACCTCTAAGCTATATATCTTGTTCTTGTTACATATGTCTCCTGTGCTACACAATCATTTGTATAGGTAGATTGAATAGCTGATGGAATGATGGACTGCTTGACTACCTGGCATATCGATGTAGTGATTGAGAGATTGACAGCTGACTGTCTAGTGGGTCGATGGGATTTAAAACTGATTGACAGACTGACTGAGTAATTTCCCTAGTGACTCTCTGATGAATGGAGTCATTAATTGATTGATTGTAAGTCGAACTGATTGGCACAGCGACTTAGCAAGTGACTGACAGAGTGATTGACTGATTCATTTACTGATTAACACACTGATCTATCTAGCAAATGATTGACTGACTATCCGATTGACTGTGTGACTCAGTGATTGATTAATATATTAACGGACTGTGTTGACTTAATTATTGACTGAAGGATATATTAATGGTGTCATTAGCTGAACTAGAGATTGATTGACTCACTGACTGAATTCATTGATTGATTGGCTGATAAAGTATTTAATGGCTCATCTAGTGACTGACTGAGTGATTAGTCCAGTCACTGATTGGATTACTGATTAACACGCTGAACTATCTAGCGATTGACTGACTCACATTCTGATTATTTATGTGATTCCCTGATTGATTAACTGATTGACTGTTTGATTGACTGACTGTGTTGTCTTTCTTAATGGCTTGTTGACTGACTGATCTATAAATGGAGTCACTAAATGAGCTAGAGGCTGACTGAGTGATTCCCTTAGCGACTAATGGACCGATTGACTAAGCTAGTGACTGACTGAGTGGTTGACTTACTGACTGATTGACCGAGTGACTAACAGACTAACTGCTTGTCTAACTCGCTGATTGATCGATTGTCTAAAAAAGTTTCACTTGAATCTTGATATATCTATATATATGTATATACCCTATCATATATATGTATCGCAGTAAACTTTCAGTCCCAAACTCCCTTTGTAAGGGCATTCGAGCAGGTCAAATGTCGTCCTTGAGTGCGCTGCTTTTACTCGCTTACAGCTATCGCTTCAAATCCGCCTATAATTGCTTAACAATTTTGTTAACTTCCTAGCTTGAAGTGGATTAATGGTACACAGAAGGCACTTACTGAGTGCTTGATTGCCTTTGGGCTCTGAAACCATCGACATTTATCTGCCCGCTTAATGCTCGCACTTTTTAGTGGCTGTCAACAGCGCGCTGAAAGTTTATTTATTAATTAATCTCAACCCAAAGGATTGTCTACGAAATGTTTTGCCGATTCAAGTGGAATTCCCAAATAATACACGCACACACACACACATGCCATATGGTTCGTGGATTGGGTGCTTGAAGCCTGTCATTATGTCTGGGGCATCTGCCTATAAATCATTTTAATTAGCATATATATAAACTGAGGCGTTGCTATTGTAAATCGCGCAGCTTTATCGATTCGCATCACGTAAAAAAGGCAAAAAAAGAATTTCGCTTTATCAAAAATGCTCGAGTCACCTTAGCAGCTACTGCCGAAAGCGAGGCCAAATAAATTAAGTTGTTGGTCACAAAAAAAAAAGGCAATTAGACAGACGTGTGTGTGTGTGTGTGTGTGTGCGTGTGTGTGTGTGTGAGTGTGTGTGTGAGTGTGTGTGTGCGTTTGTTATCTGATTAACCGAGCCATCCAGGCGCAGACATACATGATTTTATATTAAGCCAATTTCTTGGCCATAAATGAGACCAGGAACTAGGCACGGCCATGCTTCGGATGTTTACGTTTTGATTTTGACCAAAAGTCAACTCACTAAAGACACACACATGCACACGCCCACGCACGCAGAGAGAGAGAGAGAGAGAGAGAGAGTAAATCACGCCAGGCGCGCATTAAGCGTGTGACAAGCGGACATTTGATTGTGCCTTGTCGCTTTGTTTGAGCCTTCATTTTGCCTTCCTGGCCAATTTCTGTTGCCTACTTTCTGGCGAGGCGCGTCTCG